AGTCACATGTGATTATTGAGCACTTGAAACGTGGCTAGTGCAACTGAGGAACTGAATTTTAAATTTTACTTATTTTAATTAATTTAAATTTAAATAGCCACTAGTGACTCATGACTACCCTATTGAAAATAGAACAGATTTAGAATATGATGATGACCTTATAAAAGATAATCTAGGTTATGTTGTAGTCACAAAGAACGCTAAAATCTTGGTGATTTATAAGAACAAAGATTTATTTCTTGCTTGTGTTACTTACGTACCCATCTGGGATTGGCTGGGGATCCAGGTGGATAAAGCAGCCACCACCTGACATGTTGCAGTCATTATGGAGAGGCTTGCACCAGTAGTTAAATTCTCTGGACCAGAGGGGACAAACATCACTTGTGCTTACATCTCACTGACCAGGAACAGTCACACAGTCTCATCTGGCCAGGGAGCCAGGAATGTGGTCCTAATCATATGTCAGGGGGCAAAAAGCCTTAGGAGTGACTGCTACAGCTATTAGCTTCCCTTTCAAAATACAGAGGAGTTCCCAAGGGGTAAATAAGTAGTATTACTTGTATTTTCTTGAAGAGTGGAGAGTTGAGTTTCTTTAGAATTCAATTATCCTTCACCTCCTTGATACTCATTAGCACAGACGTATTAAAAGCAGGTAAAATGTAGAAAGTAAAACTCAAAACATTTTGCTAAGAAGAAAAAGAGACATATAAATAAAGTTAGAGCTGACAACAGTCGGCATGTCTTTTTAGTTACATGTAGAAGTTCATTTAATATGAAGCTCTGCAATGTAAGGAATAATCAATGGATTGTTTTCTATCTGTTTGGGATGAGAACAGAGTAGAAGAAAATATATTTGTTATTTTTCAGACTATAAAGTACATTTTTCACTAATAAGGAATAAAAAGTCCTTTTCTTTAAAAATAATAATTTTCTCACTAGGAACATTTGTGGATTGTAGTTGCCTTACAAAAAAATGAAATAATTTAAATATTTATTATCTGGACAATGGATTGTTTCTTTCCAGACTACACTGTGGAATCATAAAATCATGTAGTCCAACATTAAATAGTATGTCTTGATTCTTTCTAGAATATCTACAATATTGTTTGAACACTCGGGACACGGGGCTTCACCATCTGATACCTGACAACAGACTTCCTATGAACAGGAGTAACGGCTTCCGGAGAACAGATGCTTCGATATCAACACAGAGAAAGATAGCACCCGGCTGCCAGTAACAAATTGCACCGAAGTTACAAATGTAAACCACACCCTGGTAAGTAATATCAATGATGATGATGATTTTGAAATGAAAATGTCATATAGATTTTAGCACTATGAGGATACTGTAGATACTAGAATGTGATTGAACCAAAATGATGCTTGAGAGAAACTTTGAAATAAATGTGCAAATGAGGCTACCTAGTATAAACAAGAACTGCCTAAGTCATTCTGCTCCTTAGTAAAACACAACCACATAAGCCACTTTCTGCAGCAGAGCATTTGTTTTTAGTTTCCAAGATCTGTTTGGGTTTTCTACATCCGGTGGCATGGAAAAGAGAAGGCTGCAAAGACTGAACAAACCGCATGCACTGTGGTATCCTTTATTTTAAATTGTGAGCTAACTACAGTTGTAGTGTTCTCATTTACCATTCTGATGGCATAATAAACTGGGAGAACATTAACACAATTTCAAGAAGGCATCAAAAACCTGTAAACAAACACACACACACCACACATGCGCGCACATATACAACATACACGCACACAAAGGTTATAGTCTAAACAGTTAAACGTGATGAAGAAAAGCTTTGAATGCTCTAACTCAAAGTAGAAACACTTTATTATAATAAACTGTGGCAATACTGTGGCTATTATGAAAAAATATTGTAACTGTTTAAAAAGCAAAAAGAAAAATACTGGCAATTTGAAGCTAGCAGCAAAAAGCAGATAAAAATAGAATGGAAGATAACATAAGACTAAGTAAAGCAAAATTCTAATGTTGATACTATGTAGGATTGCACTGAAGTAATTTAAAATTGGTTCTTAAGGAACTATTGAAAAGTCCCTTGAAATATTAAACTGCTGCACTTTACAAACAGTGGAAAAGAAAAAAGTAACTGGAATGTTACACACACACGCAGAGGAAATGTATTAGGCATATCAGTTTATGGTCTTTGTTTATGACCTTCAAAAAGTTTTATAAAGAAAAATTTAAGTGCCAATGTAGTGAAAGAAAGTTAAAAATTCCTAAAGACACAAGTCTGAGTGCATTTATCAGATCTAAGAATATATTTGAAGGTTGGGGGCAAGGCATGATTGATGCACATTCAAGAAGAAAAACCTTGTGGAACCCATAAGGTAGGTAGAGTTCTCTGAAGAGTATTTGGAATGAAGGTATATTAAACTCAGACTATCCTGAAGAAGATTCCCAAGTATGTGGAGTTCTATAGCTCTTCAGTTGAAATCTGTTTCATAGTGGCCAATAAATAATTAAGACTAACTTTTCAGCAAACTGGTTTTTCATACATTCAAACACAAAAACCATTACCACACATGCAGAGCTGATGCTCTAAAACAGCACAAATATGAATTGTGGTTTCAGAAAAAAAGCACATCAGCAAGGAATTATTTTTCATAGGTTCAAATAAAAATGTCTGAAGCTGCTAGACATCTTCAAAGAGGGGATAAGTTTAGAGTGCCTACTGATTTTGGAAGAAAGAAGATTCTCTTTTCCCAAGGAAGCCAGTCATCCATGAGCAGGGGACATGTCTTCAGAATCTAAGAAGCGTGATGTCCCAAGTGCTTAAACTCATGGCAAGTTCAGATTCAGAAAAGCTGGCAGGTAGAACAGGGGAGGGAAATGAAAAGTTCGAATGTCTATGGTATACTTTGGAATGAAATGTGCCTCGTAAGTTAAAATGGCTCAACTGCCTGCAGAATGAAGTGCTGCAGTGCTAGAGAAGACCTGGTTCTCTGGAGTAGGAGCTGGGAGAGACCCCCATCTCCAGGGACCCTCTGGGCGGAGCTGTGACCACAGGATCACGAGTGCTTTCAGTAGGGGAATTTATGACTTTGCCCAGGTCAGTCTTCCATTTGGTTACTTTTTCTCTAAAATCAACTGGTCAGACAAGTTACTGGTGATTTCTCAAAATGAAATCTAGCTGTACTAGTATCTTAAGGTGCCAGCTAATTCAAACTAATGCCCGTCAACAATGCTGCTGGGTTATCAACCACTGTTGCCCAAGAATCAACCCCTAAATGACCTAACTAAATAATCTATCACACTAGGTGCTTTTACTATCTTGGATTTTTTGAGCTTTAGAGAAATAGTCTTTGTAATATGACTTAGAAACTGCCTCTCTCTGGCTTTGTTTCACTCTTCCTCTTCTTCCTCTTCTCCTTCCCCTTCTCCTTCCTCCATGGTTTCCACAATGAGCTCTGCTGTGCAGGTGGCTTCTCCAAGACTGTTGACAGCCTTGCAGGTGTACTTGGCGTCGTCATCCCCGCAAACATCGCTAATGATTAAAGAGCAGTTCCCATCCTCATCGTAGTCTATCTGGAAGTGGCGGGACTCCCTGATTGACTGGTCATCTTTGAACCAGACGACCTCAGGGTCTGGGTATCCTGCAATACAGGGAGGGAACACAAGTTGTAGAAACCGTTACTTAAAATTTCTTACTAGCTCATGCAAACTTCTGAGTTATCTCTATTGATTAAGGGGGTAAAAGGAAATAATTATGATGTCTGCTTTTAGCATCTCTTTTGATATTTACATTTAAATATGGGCATGTATTATAAATACTAATGTCTGAAATTCCACATAAGGTACTGAACCACCCACGTAGGGCTTGTACCACCTCTCACTCTTACACAGATACAGATTACTATCTGGAACACTGCCCCAACTCCAGCCACATAACTAGAGCTAAATATCTTCTTGGATTAAAACAAATTTTTAAAATTTTGTATAAAAATTGAACATAAATAAATTTAAATAAAAAACAAGAATCAGAAAAAATGGGCACAGGGGATCTTTTGGGCATGATGGGAAAGTTTTAAAATTGGATTGTGGTAATGATTGCACAATTTTGTAAATTTCTTAAAAATGTAATTGAATTGTACACTTAACATGGGTGAATTTTATGGTATATAAATTATAACTCAAAGGTGATAACAGATCTATAAAACATAAATTAGAGGAACGGATAATACTTCTAAGAAAAAGAAAACAATATTTGTCTTAGTCTGATCCAAAGGCAGACAATCTGCCTGTAGATAACTGGAAATTGACCACCTTGATTAGCCTTATATTATGCATTAGTCATGTTTAATGCTGCAAACTTCAGCATTAAAAATAGGTATTTTATACCTTTAAAACCATATCATAATTCTAACTGACCTGTTTTTAAATTTTGTAGTAGTTCTACAGGACAAAATTGTAGCCCCAACCAGAATAAAAAGTACACATAAGAACTTAAAATTCTAACATTCTTTTCAAGTAGAATTTTGTTTTTATCAAAACAGCATCCATATGCTTAAATTTCTCCTCAGCATTCCAGTTGAAGTAATGCAAATACCAAGAAAATAATCTCAAAGAGAAAAATAAGCAAAAAGATGATAATTATTATGATATAATATTTTCTAAAAAATCAATAAGGAAAAAGTAAAGAACTTCATAAGACCCAAAGGACAGTGATGGTGAGAGCTATAAGCGTGGCCCCAGAGCTCTCAGCACACCCGCAATCTGAGCACTTCCACACTAGCAAAGGTAGCACATTCACTTTATAAAAAATTGAATGAAAAAAGAGAAAGATTATGGTAGGTGAGGCATTTACAAGGCATGTTGATAATATAGTGATGTAAGAGAAAATTGTTTTTTCATTCCTACTCTTGGGTTGCTTTACCCAAAAGGCACTATCTAGTCATACTGCTGGAAAAACTGACAAAGTGGGAGGCGTGGTCTCTTCTGACTGCTGTCCTGTGCTGTGCTGCCTTGGGGAAGTGGGTCCCAGCCCTCCACTCTAGTTGACACATGACAGTCACAGACTGGAAGCAAAGAGGCCTATCTTGTCCTGCCTCTTATCTTTCTAGAACATTGCAGTCTGTGGAAACTGAAATGCTATGTGTCACCAACACCGCGAGTTTCTCAGGTGCTATACTGAGATCCCTTTGGGTCCCTTGAGCTCCAATGACTCATGACTCTATGGCCATGTTATTTCTGGCAGGCAGGGAGGCATGGGGAAGACAGCACAGGCGCCTGGATCCCAACTTCCCCCCGTTGAAGTCACACTGCAGGCGCTCTTTGCACTTATCAGTCTCACAACTTTTCCCTTGATTCTATGACGTCTTTAAAAGACTTGAAATGTTTATCCTTTCCTGATATGTCATCTCACAGAGTCCCCAGAGCCACTCAGAGCATCAGACACCGTCTTACAGGTGAGCACCTGAGGCTCAGGAGAGTTAGATCACCGCCTGTGGTCACACAGCCGCAGATGCAGAGCTCTGCATCGTATGCTCTTAGTGCCAGCCTTCCTTTGAGAGCCTCTTGTGGGTGGTTCACATGCTTCCCAGAAACTCAAAAAACTCATTTCGTTAAGCATGTTCCATAACCAAACAGGTCCATGATAAACCACTTTGAACTTGGGTCTAGCGGCTGATGTAAGTCGGTAGATATCAGATGTGCCCTCAGAAAGTCCCCGAATGGCAGTAATCCTGCAGTGGGCCAGCTCCTCCTGACCCGCTTTCCCTCCCAGCCTGGCTGTTCCAGAACTGCTGTCTCGCCGAGGGCCCACAGTAGGGGCCTCCCAGCCAGCCGTGCCCCTTTGGTAATAAGGGAAGAGCAGCTACAAACTTACCTTCAATCTTGCAGTCAAACCTAGCAGCGCTTCCCTCCACAACTTCTAAGTCACGAATTGTCTTAGAAAAGTAGGGTTTTACATGGGGCTTTTCCTCAGCAACAGCCTCAAGGAAAGCTTGGGCGACATCTTCTAGAAGACAGGAAAGAGGATGGGGTCATTTCTTCATTCCTTCTCTCCTCTTCCCTGGTTTAAAAGAGCTGACTTTTTTTCAGTTGCTATAATTCGGCAGATAATGCAGCTGAGAGGACTGAATCATAAGCACACCTTTCTGCTCGGGACAGGCTGGCCTGCTGCCAAATGACTTTGGCAGAAGAGAGAACTGCGACCAAACTGGGGAAATGTTTGGACTCCCCCTTCCCTTATGCTGACACATTGAAAAAGGAAATAATCTTTAAAAAGGATTTTTGGCTGCATTTCATACTGCTTCAGGATTCAGTTGAGGGTATCTAAGAAGGACGGAACCACACCAGCCATCCTGATCTCTACCCCTTTGTCCTCCAGCAGCAGCAGGCCCTTCATCTGCTCCCAGAAGGGAAGAGCCAGGTCCTAGCGGCATCTTCGACTTGCCAGTGGCTCTATTCTACACACATCTACTGCATTCACATTGTGTGACGTGGACCACGGTTTGGGATTGGTCCAGGGAAAAGCCATAATTTGGAGGGGCTCCTGATCCTCTCCTTCTTTAGGCTATTGCTGGGTCATCTGGGGAGTGGCAAGGGTAGATCGGGAGGGATCAGGCCCATGTGCAGCAGACTCTGTCCCCAGCTGCATCAGAACAGTTCAGCAGGCCACGTTGCCAGTTACCCTGTCTTGTGCACAAAGGGATCTAGACTCAGCTTCTCATCTTTGGATACCAAAAGCACAAGGCAGCAGGAGGTGGAGGGGTGTCTCCGGCCAAGGTGGCACCTCAAGATGGTAAGGGCCAGACCCTGCATGCACCTGAAGCAGGAAGAAGCCGAGGCCTTCGCTGCGGAGATGGATGGGGCAGTATCTCAAAGACGGTGGGCAAGTTACTAACCCTTTTGGTCTCTAGGAAGGGCCCTGTCAATCTGTCTACCCAGTTCAAACGACATGTTTTGGCATATGAAAAATACCAAACAAACATGGACTGTACGAGGTAACTTTTGTTTAAAAGAAAACCACAGAGACATGGTCAAAAAAACAGGAAGGATTTTCTTAAAAGTACACTACAATATGTGTTTTTTACTTTATGTTTGCCTATCATTACATAAGCATTGCTTTTGCAGTGAGAAAAAAAGAAAGCTTTTAATAAAGCCTCTGCTAATTCTTATGTAAAGTATAGAGAAAAGCTAAGCAGAGATCACCTGTTTGTATTAGACAAATAATAACTTTCAAAAGTTGTTAAACCTAAGGTGAAGCAAAGAGTAATTACTAAACTTATCAATTATTGTCAGAGCAATGTAAAAGTACTTCTGAATTTTTCCTTGTAAATTGTGTTATAAAAAACCAAAAACAATTCCCCTCTACCTCCACCCCCACTCCCCCAAAAAAGCCTCTAAATGCCCCTCCATCCCTAACTTCCTTTCTCACCAACTGGCTGGAGAAAATCTTCCTGTAGCTCCTTACCTTCAGAGTCTAGTTTTTCTGCATTGAGCGGGCTGGTTGGTGATCCTGTTGAGGATTTCCTGCCACTGAGCCCTGAGATCATTGCCATAGAGGACAGTCTTCCAATGGCTCTCACAGCATTGCCTGTTTTCTGAAAAATAGACACTGGCGTTGGACTCACGCAGTGTCCCTGGTTCCAAGTGGGCAGCGGGGCTCAGGGAGAAGAGCCCAGCCCAGGAGAGGCAGCTGTCCCTGGAACGAGGGCTTCCCCAGCGCCGAGGTTCCGCCAGAGGAGTGAGCCCAGCCTTGCTCTGCTCAGCACTATCAGCGTGTCGGAAGATGTTCAGAGAATGGAATGGGGCCTGGAACCAATGTGTGCCTTAATGTGACTAAACAAGGTCAACATGAGACAAAAACCCTTTTCATACTGTGCTTCAACTCCCATAAAAGGGATAGTTTATATAAAGCAACTGCAGGCTGAGACAGCTCCAAAGACTTATTGCTGACGGGGCCCAGTGGGGCTGCTTCTCGTAAAACAATGCTAGTGATATGATTTTAATTGGTCAAGAGAAGAGTTACTACGGATCCCACAGGTCCTGTTGCAAAAAAAAAAAAAAAAGGCATTCTATTGACCATGAGCAAGTTGCTTAACCTCTCTGGGCTTCAGTATCCTTCTCTGTGTAAGGAGAGGGTTGGACAAGATGATCTGCAAGGTCTCATTTAGTTCTGTTTAAGATTCAGATACTTTAAAGATTTCGAGAAACACTCTGGCTAGGCCCAGCACAAGTCTGTGATTACCCAGTGAAGCTCCAGAGAGGTGTTCTTCCCAGATGCACACCCCAGCATTAAAAAGAAGAACCTGAAGAAAGGAAAAGCACAGCACTTTGCTATTCTGAGTGGCAGCGCCTTGGGAGAGGACAGAATTTCTGCTGAAACAGATGCCAGGACTTAAGATGAACATTTTCTTTGCATTTGAAAACTCTACCAAGCATAAGACTTAGGTCAAGGAGTCCCCCAATAACACTCAACTGTGTTTCTCACCTTTAGGTAAAGTTTCTCACCCCTTTTCTAAGGCCAATGGAGTGACTAAGATAAGAAACTAAGGCATAAGCAGCGCTTTCCACCCCTGCACCTGAAGCATCTTTTCAGGCATCCAGATGCTGTGCGTCCAGAAAGCAGATGTCACGACAGACTGGGTTTTGAGAGAGGAAGGAGACAGCCTGTACACAGGCAAACGGCTGGCACTCCCCGCTGGCCCTCAAACTGTGCCGACAAAGCATTATCCTGCTGAATTAACTTCATGCACTTAAGTATTTCATGGAAGCCTCACAATTTTGGAGTATCTGGAAAGCCAATATGCTTCAGTAAAAAGATTATTTCAAAAGTAAGGAATTCAGGGTGCTAAGGAATCATACAGAAAACTGTGTGTAAGTGTGGTTTAAGCAGAGACCTACTGCTGTGACCACAGTTGCCCCCATTTTGTCACATCTCATCCTGGCTGCAGACTATCTTCATGCACTCTGAACGGACGTTCCATCTTGCCCTGCCCTCTAGCCATCCACCCTCTCACATACATCACTGTGTGTTATGCTTCCGGCCCTCTGTAAAAACCACGGTGAAGCTGGGTCACTCTGCAAAGAAGCCAGGGAGCCCCGGGGGGATGGGGGCGGGGGAGAAGGTGTGAGACGATGACTGACCGACTTAACTGTGGGCAGAGGCACTGTGGCCATGCAGAGAATGCAGACAGAGACCGTTCGGCAGCTTCCCGTGCTCTTCTGGGTGAGGCTGTTACTGGTGACATCATTGATTTGTTTGTCCTGCTAGCTGGAGTGTGGAGAGACCCAGCTCTTCCCAGGGGAGCATACCCTGACTTCAGGAACAGGTAGGAGGTGGCGCCAGCCACCTCAGCCCTCCCAGCTGAGTCCACATAAAACCAGACTGCTTCCTAACCAGCCAAACTCTCAGACTCCGCCCTTCTCAGCTCTCCATTCCCTTCATCCAACACAGATGGGTTTGCCCTGGGCAGGGTGTCTCTAAGCTCAGAGGGTTCACTCCTAACAAGAAACAGGTTAGTTCTCTAACCACTAATTGATTACTCTGTGACCTTGTGCCAGTCAGTTCCCTTCTCTGGGCCTCATGGTTAGACCAGAAGATTCAAATCTCCCTGCAGCTCCAGTCTCTACAGAAAGACTGTGATTTAGACTCGTGAACTTGTTTCAGACTCGAGAACCTGTTGCTGGGAATGCTCCCCTTGAGGCTATGGGCTCCCTAATCCCCAACACCTGGACTGCAACGAGCAGGACTGTATGGGGTGGAATGATGAAGTCTTTCTTCTTCTGTTAATAAAATGACTAATGTGAAGCTCCAGAACAAGGCAAATAAAAGAGTTACAGTATTTCAGAGGAGGTAGCAGATACACAGTAACATACAAATAGACTACACGTAGGGGGAGATTTTCCATCAGATGGAGTGATAGAGCACATTATTTCTAAAACAGGGAGAAATGTGCTTGATAAGGAAAATCTTAAAATAACCTACATCAGAAGTCATTCTTTGGAAATTGATTTATGAAAAAAATATTGGTAGGGAAGTTATTTGTCAGCAGTGGGAAAGAAATGTATCTGTATGTTCTAGCCTTCCAGTTTCATGCCTTTGAGCTAAAAATTGGTTGCTGCTTTACTGACCAAGATTTTTGGAAATTTTTAAAACATCAAAAAAGAAAGCTTCAATTCTTGGTAAGATCTATCCTTGTTTTGAGGAAGTCTTTTTCTTGTTTGAGGGCAATTGCCAAGGCTGGGTTCCTGTATTCCAGGCAGGCAGGGTTTGTAATGGCTTCCCTAATGCAGCACAGACTCCCTCCCCTGGGAGAACCAGCAAGCATGACTAAGCAGCCTGATTTGCCAGGGACTGAGGGATTTCCAAGGATGAGGGTCTTTCAGGGATGAAGCTGAGACAGTGCCTGGCAAACTTGGGCAAGGTGATCGCCCTAGAGCCAGCCAGCCGTCATAGGCCCTCCGCACACACCAACAGCCCCAAGACTGCAATCTGCCCTGAGAATGCATATTATCCAAACGTGATGGCCAAGAGTACTCTGTGCTATGCTGAGTCAAAAGCTTTCTTCCCTAGGGCCCTTTGGTCCATACTAGTGAGGCCTTTGTGGCTCTTGGAAAACAAAGTCGGCTGCCCACAGGTCTCCAATTCCTACTCCTTTGCTTCTGGTTTTGCCTGCAGAAGCCCTGTTGTCCTGCTCAACTTACCCACCCTCAGTGCTACTGCTCACCACCATGCATTTTAAAGATTCTTTTGATATAAATAAAAGACCTGCCCTCTATCAGAGTAACTTCATTCTAAGACCAATAATGTGATTAGTCATCTATACATTGCCTTGCTTGTAGGGATGTGTTCTCATGTTACTTCCTCTTTTGTGAAAACCACACCAGAATGATAATGGAACCTTCTCTCTCGCAGCTGCAGAGAGTTCTGGCCCCCTCTCTCTGCCGCAGTGCACCCCATTCTATTCCCCTCCACTCTGCCCCATCACACGGAACCTCGGCTGTTCTGAGAGGGAACCCCCTATTCCAGGGGTGCAAAGGTCCTGATAACTAAGGTCCCAGAGTATAAAATGTGGAAAACATTTTCCTAAGGAAGAAATGTAGCACAAGATGGTCAGATGCAGCTGAACCATTACCAGTGAAATTATGCTTCAGGGATATGATGTGTTGAATGGGATTTTGTAGACTACTTTTCTATGTAATTTTGTGAAACCTAACTGCTGTTTCTGTGGAAAACCCATTTCCAAATGTTGCTGCCTATATTAAAATAGGAAATTAGGGTTCCTTCTCTGAATTCTACCCTTTTCTTTCTCCTCTCATTCCCAGCAAAAGGGTTTTCTGGCTAATGACACTGTGAACACCAGAAAAACCTAAGTGATTAAAATATCAGCACAAATTACAGTTCCTTGACCCATCTGACTGAAAAATTCTATTTATTTCCTCTCTCATTTCCTTATCTCTTCTCTGCGCCTATCCCCTGGGTTTAGGCTCTTCCTGGCTCTGGTTCACCAGCAGATGTGTGGATTCTCACAGAAGCCAGAAGTGATAAAGGCTGCCCCTTAACCCACAGCCTCATCCAAGCCAAAACCAGTGAGACTGCCTGCTCTGAGGGCTGCCCCACCCCCACCGCAGCAACCCTATCTGCTCCAGAATTATCGCTGTTTCTTGAGATCTGCTGACCACAGGATCATTAATAAAGCCAGCCTTTGATTTTGTGGCCCCCTTGTTGTTTTGTTTTTAGAAAATAATTGCTACTCTGATTTCACTGGATCCTAATGGCACCAGAGGGTAAAGCAAGCAGCACAGGTGTTCCAGCTCACCAGGTACTCATGAGGGAGGCCAAGAGATCCACCCCTCCTTCATGTCGGGGGAGGGCAGGGGGGCAGTTACCAAGAACTGACCCCCACTGCGGGGGAGCCAGGCTGAGAGACCCACATACCTGAAGCCCCTCGCTTGCCTCTGCTCCTTTCAACCTTTGGGTGAACTTGGACTTTTCGAAGGAACTGTGGTTTAGTCACCACAGTGTGTGACTGTGTGATTTGTGTGGCAAATTATCAGTGTCCCAGTGTCCCCTAAAATGGTGATTTCCTTTCTCTCTGTCACAAAGACAAGGTCTCAATGCCCAGGTCCCCCGAATGCTCAACTAAAACACTGCTCCTGCCAGGCCAGCATGACTCAGGTGAGGCCAGGTTCCCACCCTGAGCCTTTCCTTCCATCTGTGCCATAATCCCCTCTGCTCTGTGTTCCAGCCATGTTCCACAGCTGATTTCAAACTCCTGCCCTTGGCAGCATTTCCTCACAACCACATCCAACTCTGCTGTGACTGGCTCATTCTCTGTCCGCACTCACATATATGGGTATGGAAAGCCATACTGATAGTTTATAATTCTTGGTGTGTGTTATGTCCTTTTATGTCTATTTGCTTCAGGTCCCTGTTACACTATACATTCCTTGAGTATAGAAACCACGTGCCCTTCAGTAGCCCAGGAATTTTATAATACTCGTAGTGATAATAAAAATAAAATAGATGATAAATTCCCTATGGTTTTGGATGATAATTTTCTCCATCTGCTAACAGTCAGAGGCAATTTGTGTCATTAAACTGTGTGTCATTAGGACTGTGTACTTTGTAGCCAGGCTCTGGGTTTGAGTCCCAGCTTTCCCACTTACTAGCTATGTGATCCTTGGTGACTTTCTTAATGTTTCTTAATGTTTCTCTGCCTCATTTGTTTGAGAACTGGGGATAATGACAGTACCTGCCTCCCAGGATTAAAAGACAATACATAGAAAGTGGTTTGAGTGTTCTCTGATGCATGGCCAGCTTCATCAGTTCTCTGATGCACTGGCTACTGATCTCATTTTTGAACACTTATTAGGTGCCAGGCAATGTGCTAAAGGCCAGATTAAGATTATCTCACATATTTCTCACAACAATGCTGTGAGGTTGGTACCACTATTATCCCCACTGCACAGGTGAGAAAATGAAGGCACAGCAAGATTATGTGACTTGCCTAAGGACATGTAGCTAGTAACATACAACCTCCTTAGGGCGCAGGGGCCATGTCTCTCTTTGTAGATCATGTGCCCACCTCCTTCACTGTAAAAAAATTTAAGACCATCACAAGGTATATAAAGAGATCGAATTCTCCAGGCCTGCTAAACAGTCCTAAAGGTGACATTGTTTATCCTTAGCCATGAAGACATGAAATGTCAGTCTGGGTCCCAGACTATTTCAGAAACAAACTTAAACATTTTTGGAGTGAGGGGAGGGCAAGTTGGGAATGAGAGTGGGTTGAATAAAGCAATTATGAGGGGCAACATCCCAGTCCAAAGTGACTCCTCGTTACCTGCCATTTCCTTCTTGCCATGTACTTCTTCATCCGGTCTTTGGAGAGCTTCTTGGCCTCCATGTTCTTGGTGTCTTTCATTAGCCATGGATGCTGAAGGCACTGGGTGCAGTCCAAGCGGTTTCTGATGGAGGCAGAGATCAGAGGATTTCTGAGCAGAAGGGGACCTCAGAAACTGCTAGTCAGATCAGAAATGGGAGGCCACCTATCCCTAGTTACACAGGGCAGAGCCCAGGGCTCTCTTGCTCCCAGTCCATCCACCATGATGAGGATCACTGTGCTCCTGGCCTTTTTCATGTCTTGGTCTGGGTTACACTGACTAGACACACAATAGGCCAGCATTCAGAAGGCCTAACATCAGTAAGCCCTTGGGGTCTAGGGAGGGTAAATGTTGGGGAGCAGACATGTCTGGGAATGGCTGGTGCCATATTCCAGGATGAGGTCAGTCAGTGGTCACACGGGGGCTGCAGACTGGGGAGGCCCAACCCTTCTGCCTCCATGTCTGGCCAAGAGGAGAGTGAACCATTAGGCCCAAATCTTTGAGAATCATTTAACTCTCAAGTCTTATGGTGTGGTTGAGTATCAGGTTTTTCCTGTTAAAACTCAAGAAGTATGTCCTACATACAACCTTTCAAATATGACAACCTTAGAACTGCACTGAAACGCATTTACTCTTCTGAAAGCTCTGAGAATCTAGAAATATTTCAGGGCCATCACCTTAATTGTGAGAGGACTAATAAAGCCCACAGTGCAAAGTGCTCACATATGTGGAAGAATGAGTAGAAGTAAACTTGTTAAATATAGCAAAATGCAGTGATCTTTAGCTAAGGGAATATGTATTATTTTAATTTTCTTATATTCAAAATTTCTATAATTTCCATGTATTAATTTTATAATAGCAAAACATTTTTAAAAGTGCTGATAGAGATTTCTGGTTGAAGAAATGCTGAGTTTAAGAGTTTATGGGAATCTAGTGTCTTGATCTATTTAAAATCAGTTCTTTGGTGAATTTATTTTATGAGTGCAGAGGGGCCAACACAGCTCATTACTGAATAAATTCAAGGTCAGATGAGAAAATAGGGTATATACTCAATACTTCACTTACTAAATCTTCAGTGAATGAATACTGGTTGACAAAAGCTATCCTTGGACCAGAGCTATCAGGAAGGAGGTTTGCATCTCTGTGAGGCAACTTGGGAGTGGGGATCCCTTACACCAGAAGGGAATCTAGACATCCCCACAACATTCAGATTCTCCATGGGTCACGCCTACTTCTGATATTAAGACTAAATGTTAAAAGCAAAATGCTAAAAAGACCTTGCTCTCAGGGAGTGTGGAATGCAGTCCCTGGAGGAGCTTGGCCCTGGGCCAGCTAAAAAGGACTGAGAAGTGGGTGTGTAACCAGAAAAACCAGACAGAACCACTTAAGAGACCCTCCAACCTCACTTCTTTAGCAAGTGTACTCTCCTGACCCAGAGAGGATTTCTCCCAGAGTGGGGCAAGATGACTGACAGCTTCAGGGGGACCTGTGGGCCAGGCAGGCAGGGGAGAACCTAGGCCACAGTCACCTGGTGTATGTGGAGCCTCCTGCCTGTCCGTGGGGTCGGGCTGCCCCTCCCCTTCACAGCCTCTGGCACACCACCCATTTCAACAGCACCTTCTGGGGAAAGGCTTAGAGCTGCTCCCTATCTCCAAATACAACTCCTTTGGGTCCCTGGAGCCAGGCCCGGCCTCATCTGTCCCCACCTGACACCCAGGCTGCTGCCTTCCCCTGGGGCAGGCTAGCCCTCCCTGCACACGCACAGCCCCTCCCAGCTTCCTGCTTTCATCCAGCTGCTTCCTCTCACCAGGGAATTCTGTCCAGCCACACATAGGAACCCCTCCAGCCTCTCCTCTGCAGCTCCAACCTGCGTCCTGCTCTCACTGAAATATTCACCAGGTATGCCTGACCTTTCCTCACAGCCTTCGGCCTCTCACTGTGCACAGCTGTTTTACACAGTCACACAGCCCCAGGCAGCCCCGGAAGGTGGAGGCGGGGAACCTCATAATCTGTACCGTTGTGGGTAGGGGGACAGTGACAGAGCTGGGAGGTGGCTGGGCCCAGTGGCCTGGGATCACAACCTAACTCTGGCCACTGGTGGAAGTTACCTGGCCATACTCAGGCAGACAGTTCTTACACAATATAAATATGAAACAAACATCCAGCCAGAATAGTCTAGGAGTATGTTCAGGACCCACAAATAGGGTATGTTCCCTGCAACCCCAGAAGGGGGGCTAAGGTTTCAGCAGGGCTACTACAGGCCACAGCTGTATGTGGAAAATAAAATGGGCTGTTGTTCACACAAGCTGCCCCTCTCCCTTAACACTCAGTCAAGTAAGTGTTGCTTTTCAAGTGAGGTTTCTGTGAATCTAAAGACCAGAGAGTGTGGCACCCAGAGCAGGGGCCGAGGAAGACCCCTTCCCTGGCCCTCACACTCGCAATGCCCAGCCTCCCCTCCTCAGGTGAGGAGGGGCCCATGAAAGGGAAAGGAAATCCAGCCTCTGGACCCTGGTCTAGGCAAGAGGGCAGCTGAAGAGACTGAAATCTCAACTCATTACTTCATATCTTTCTTCAGCAAATTGCTGATAAAATCCTTGGCATCATCAGAGATCTCATCGAAGGCCTCGTCGTCGAAGTCCCAGGTGGCCGAGGTGACGTTGGCTAAGGTCTCGTTATCGTTGTCACCCATGAAGGGGGAGAGTCCACTGACCCTGGGAGATGAGACAGGAGAGCAGTGAGAGGGGCAGGCAGTGGGGAGGGTGCCCCCCTCAGGGGAGTACTCACTGAGGTCAGACGGGGGGGCACCCCCAAAGCCCTTGCGCCTGCCACTCCTCCCACCTGCAAGAGAAGAGGGCATGGCCGCAGGCTTTGGTGGCCCAGCCTCTTGGTGGCTCACTGTATTTTTGGGTTTCGCCTGCCTGTTGACACCACCTGCCTGTGAAGCTGAGGCAGAATGCATTTTCTTTAGTTTCCCACTTCCACACAGCAGAGCAGGGCCCTCCTCCCTGTCTTCTGTTATTCCCGGATGCCCAGGCTGGAACTTCACCCCGCAGAACCTTCTCCAAGGTCCCTGGGGTGGGGCGGGGTGGGGGGAATCCCTTCCTGCTGGTGCTCCTGCCTCCACTGCGGAGCAGTCACGTGGCACAGCACTCATCCCTGCGCCCTCCATCCCACTGCCTCCCATCTCTCACCCTCGCACCCTCAGCAGCCCCAGGCATGCTCAGCAAGGACATGCACGTGAGCAGATCTGGAGTCCGTGGTGTGAGTCTGGTGTTCAGCAACACGAGTTCAATGTGCCTGAGGCATTTAAGCCAAACCAGAGAGCTTCCCTAAGAGGGACCATGGTCTGTTCATCTGCTGGGTGACCTTGGACAATTCCCCTGACCTCTCTGTGTCAGCTTCCTCCTCTTCACCACTCCCACCTCTCCCTGTTCTCCTCCTACGACCTCATCATCATGACAGCAGACATTCATCAGACATTTACACTGGGCCACGCATGGGGCAGAGAGCCGAAGGAGATTAACTCATTCAGTGTTAACACCACGCTATGACGCAGGTAACTCATTACTCCGTTTAATAGATAAGGAAATTAAGACATTAAGTGGGGTTAAATCACTTGCCCAAGGATTTGCAGCCAGTGAGTCTGTTTCTTAACTGCTACTTTGTACGATCATGCCTGCGAAGATGAAGGAGAAGATGAAGTAAATCACAGCACACAGCACCAGCAGGAGGCCTGGTTGCAGTCAGGAGCTCGGGCCCTGACCAGAGCTATTCTACAGTTCTGTACACAGCTCACCCTCACTGCCTCACCCGTCTGTGATCTCGAGAATGACTCGTTTACCAAAGCTTAAGCCAAATAAAATTTGGAAGGTGAAGCATCTCAAAGCTGAATAAAATTGACTTCTGGTTTACTAGCCTCACCTCTCACCTCGGGGCACCTCATCTTCACACCAGCCATCCGGTCCACCACTCACCCTGACCTAGGGCACGCCTCATGGGTGTTAGAAGGACCCTACTCGTGGTTTAATGCTCTGCTGCCATCATCTTGAAATTCTTAATAATGTTTGCACAAGTCACCCCACCTTTTAATGTTGCACTGGGCCCTGTCCCCACCTGAGCCCCACGAGATGGATCTAGGGCCCTCATGCCATTGACCTTCCAAGTTAAGGTTTCACATCACTCACATCCCTTTCCCCAAATCCATCATCATAAACAGTAATGCAGACCCTTCAGGAGCTGTTTTGACATTCAAGAGGCCTCAGCTTATGACATCCACCCTGTCCCTGGAAACTAAGCTCTGGAAAACAAAATCCACTGAAGTATTGCAAGGAAACCTTGCCATGGGAGGGATGCCCTTGTGAAAATCTTCATTAAAAAAAAAGCTTTTTCAGTGTGAATTACCTCACCATAATCAACGTATTTGTGCTTTTGAGTCATAGGATTTTGTAGATGACATTGAAGTGCGTCAAAGCAAGATGCCGATTTATGTTTTGAGGAGGCGTAGAGATAATCATTCTCAATCAGTCACAGCACGATGAGAGGAGGGTGGGACCTTACCAGTCCTGAGACTGTGCTGTTAAATGCTACTCCTTTCCCCTCTCTGGGCCTTGGTGTCCCCTCATACACCAAGGGTGCTGGGCTAGAATTCCTGGGGGCTCCAGCTTTCCCGTCTCTTTCCTAGTCCCATCAAGAAGCAGACTGACTCTTGCTGGTCAGCTACGGGCTTCCTTCTGTCTTTGCATTTTCCACTTGAAGCCCAGGGGGAACATCCTGCAGCATTCTGAAAGATTTCAGGAAAAGCAAACAACCCTGCTGTGGAATGCTGAAAGGTCTCCTTCTGTAAACCTCCTTTCCTAATTAGGAACTGTAATCCTGCAAAGATAGGGCTTAATCTCCGTGATGTTCCGTAGGCTGGGGAGAGCCTCCTCGCCTCTGGCCTCTGGCAGTCCTCCTTCCTGGCGGCCCATTCATCTCAAATACCCCGAGCCTCCTCTCCTGCCTGAGCGCCCCTAGCCTTCCCCCTGATAAAGAGTACATCTCTGAAACAAAAGTTGCAAAATACGCAGAGCACAATAATGAAGACACTGTTCAAACTTTAGTTTCTTGGTAGTAGGATTTTGCAGAATTTTTTTAAAAACTTTCTTTTTTGGACTTTATTGTTAGAATTTGCCTAACCATCCCGTATGGTTGTGAGACAGGGAGGGGACAGGGCACAGCCATTAAAGGAATAACACAGCAATTAACACCAGAATGGTGAAAGATTCAACCCCCAGCAGGGCTTAAGGCTCAAGATGGAGGCAGATCTGACTTTTAGCAGACTGTTAGCTTCATTATATGCATGTTGTAATATATTAACATGGTGAATAACATGCCCACGGGCACCATGACAGTCCCAAGGCCGCAGCTCCCTCTCTCTCCCTCTTCAGAGACGGCCCCTCCTCTGTCTATGGAGTGCGTACCTACTTTTACTCTAATCTGAGCCCCCAAACCCCACACCTCGTGGCCTTTCTCTCACCTTTTGATGTATCTCTAAATAAATCTACCTTTACTCAACTGTGGCTCACTCTTGAATTCATTCCTGCGTGAAGCCAAGGACACACTCTTGGCGGGGCACGTTCCAGGGGCTCAACCGAAGCCTGGGACATGGCCCTCCTCACGCCCCACATCGTTTTTCCTGCATCAGTTGGGTTGTTCAACTCAATCAACAAACATACTAACCTTAGCATTAAAAACGTGACTATTCACCTCTTTTCCTAGTCTTACCTAGTTTTTAACTGAAGGGGATCAGCGTATACCATCCCAAAATATGAACTTGGGCATAAGGATTGTCTTGAACTGAAGGCAGTTAACTCTTTGCCCTCCCAAAGGACAGAAATTTCTCTTTGTTAAGGTGACATAAAGTTCCATTTTTTCCATTTGTCCATTCTCTTACCAGGAAGGAGAAAAAAGCTCACCTGCATATCAAACCAGGCTAAACAGTCTCTATTTAGCCTACATTTCCCAGGCATCTTATCACAGTTTGCCCCCTCCAGAGGCTCCAAACCCCTTTTCCTTTCTCTAGTTATTTCTGTACAATTTATCTCTATTTGTTAAAATAGTAAGACCCAAATTCTAAATGTGCCTTGAGTCACGTTTCTTTGTGAATTCTTATGCACATGTCCATAATGAAATCTGTTTTCATTAACCTATCTTGTCAGTTTGATTTGCAGGTCCCCAAGTACTGAACCTAGGAAAGCAGAGGAAAGTTTTTTCCTCCCTCAAATAACCAATTTTGTGTCTGTTTTTCACAAAATTGTGATCAGTGTGGGCAAGTTCTTGGATGCTCTTTTTCTTCACTTGGCATTGTCTTTCACAAGTGTATACAGACTTCATGTTAATTTTTAATGGTCAGATGTTAGTCTTTGTGCTGATGAGTCACAAAGGGAATGGCTGCAAGGTGTTCAAATTTCTTAACTCTTAGTCTTTTACTGCAGCCTAACTTCACCAGGGAATCAGATACAGGGGCCTGTTCTCCTTGCAGGACAGAACATCAGGAGAGAGAAGGCAGAAGTGCCTTTTGGACTACACTTTCTCTATAGTGTTTTTCAAGCAGCAGATGACCCCATGGCATGAACGGCCAGCAAAGGGGACCACACATCTGCCAGCAGAACTACTGAAGGCTTAGGAAGGGGTTAGTCATTTACCCCATTTTAGCCTTGAGATATTCATTCCCTGGTGTGGTGGGAAGATTGAGAGGGCTGGGCAGGTCCCAGAGGAAGAGCTGGGCATTGTTTGGGCAGTGACCTGGGAAACAGATTCAGGGTTCAGTCATGTTAACCACAGCCCAAGTCCCTGCAGGTGGTGCCTGGGCCTGGTGTGGGTGTAGGGTGCCTGGAGGTCGCAGGAGCTGGAATCAGAGAGCATGTCTAGGCTCAGCAGCTGAGAGGGCAGGGGCAGCCCTGGGTGGAGCTACTAGACCCCTCTGAAAAGCTGTGTAGACTCCAAGCCCGAGCAGACTAGGGCCCTGATGCTTGGGCACTGGGACCTCTCCCCAGCTCATGGAGATGCTGTCCCCAGAAGGAGACTCCAGATGGGGATGGCCCTGGCTCTCTGGACCATGGTGCAGGCTCACAAATGAGCTGAAATGGGAAGTCTGCTGCTGAGTCCAGCAGGGGGATGGTAGGGAGGAGAAAGTATAGGGGAGGAGGCTTGGGAGAAGGGGGAGAGAGAAGGAATTCTGGAGCAGGGCTGAGGGAAGGGCACAAAGAAGGGTTCTGGTGTCCCCACAGGCAGTAAGGGGACACCAAGTCCTCAGGAAATGGGGGCAGGGAGATAGAAAAGGAGGTGGGGCTTAGAACATCTTCACAACTGCACTGAAGTGTGGCCCGGAGCGCCCCATCCTCTCTCCTCCTGCCAGAAACCAAATGGGGAATGCAAACACCAGGAGTCTCCAGCAGAGTCATGAAATCTATCTCCCTTCAGAATCGGGGTGAGAGGGTAGGGGCCCCACCACCCCGCCTGCTGCATCTCTGCCCTGTGTGGGAAACCCAGGCGGGCAGCGGGGCCAGGTCTCTGGAGCCAGGACAGGATCTACCCTGATCTCTCTGAGGGTTTGAGAAGGAGTTCCTTCAGCAAAGTCAGAACAACCTACGGGACAAAGCTGGTCGCTTAGGAGGTGCTCACTAAATATGTGCTGAGTGATAAATCTGCTATCACCTGTACCCCCAACTCCCCATCTCTCACTGGCCCCACAAAGGAGATGGGGGCGGTCCTCTGGTACAAACACAGAAGGTGGCCCTGACAAGGACTGCCAGACAGACAGCCAAGCTCCAAAGAGAGGGACAGAAGGTGCAGGGGGCTTCCAGCAGTGGCCCCAGAATTCTGCACAGCAGGGGCTGAGAGGAAGCAACTAGCTGGTTCCAACTTCTGTTTTTCACACCACATGCTCTGCTGAGAGCCCTGCTTAGGGAGGGGGACTCCCAGATCTCCATCCCTACTGTAAGAGCAGTGGGAAAACTCCCAGAGGGCAGAGCAGCCCACAGTGGTGGGCGCAGGAGCCAGGACACTGGAGAGGCTGCACAGGGCTGACCTGTTTCTGTCACCCCTGCTGCTCACCTGCCTCCCACACACACCTCTCCCCTGTTCTCACATCCCTGTCCAGATGCCTTCAAGCTGGTGCCCCATGCATCAAAAGTATTTTCTCCCCATTTCAAAATGCCCTTCCCTATTTCTAGGTCTTAGCCATGAAGTAATCTAGCGAACAATGTAACATGCTATCCAAATTGCTATGTTCCTCCACCTAAAAGAATTTTTATTTTAAAATAAGTGCTCTTATGACCCAGTAATTCTAGTTCTAGATTATACAGCCAACAGAAATGCATAAAGATATTCACTGAAACACGTGCACCAGAATACTCACAATACCCTAAACTGGAATCCAGTCAAAAGCCCATCAACGTAGAATGGATCAATAACTTGGGTGATGTTCACACAGTGGAACACTACACAACCCTGAGAATGAACAGCCTACAACCACACACAGTGATATGAAAGGGGCTCACAAACAACATGGAGCAAAAGAAGCCAGACACGTCTTCCTGTATGACTTCGTTTATACAAAGTTCAAGAACAGGCGAACGTGGTGCATGACATTAGAACAGGGATATGGTTACCCCTGGGGCAGTAACCTGAGCCGGGCACTGTGGGCCTGGTCGTGTGTGGTTTCTGGTCTGGGTAAAGGTGTGTTCACTGTGCAGATTCACTGAGTGTCTAGACACTGCTCTGATCCTGACCCAGAGGGAGACCAGTTGCCCTAGTTTGTCCAGGATGATCCTCACTTCAGCCCTGAAAGTCTCATATCCTGGGAAACCCATCAGTGCTGGATGGGCTGGGACAGCTAGTCACCCTCTGGGACTGTAGGACGTGGGCGGCCACATGGGCTTCCCTATCCCAGAGACTTCAGTGCCAAATGAAGAGTGAATCCCTGCCACACCCCACTCCCAGGTTTGTTCTGCGGCTCAAACAAGAACTCATGTGAACATCTGTGGCCGCTATAATTCCTATCCTACCGCAGTGGGAAAGCCGATGGAGACAGTAAGGCAAGTCTCCTTGATGGCTACAGGGGGACCCAGGGACCAAGCCGGTGCATAGGGCAGCTGCATCTGAACAGAGGGCGCTGACCAAAGACTGTCTCTCAAGAGTCAGGTGTCTCTCCCGGGGGAAGACGCGGCACGAGCACCACCCAGCCTGAGGCAGCCAGGAGAAGTTTCTCTCCGGACCCACGAACACAAGCAAAGGTAAATCCACCGTACCAGCCACATTCTTGCTCTTCTGATCAAAGGCCCCAGGCTGGACGGCATCAGGGATGGTGAGGGGCCCAGAACGGGGATCTTGGTGTGTGGAGCTGGACGCTCCTACAGAAGTGTGACATTGGGCTGGGGACGCCACCGGGAGCACAGGATCAAGGAAGGGCGGCGGGGAAGGGGTGGGAGACTGCCATTCTCTGCCTCCGGTGGGCGCCCCACCAGGACCCGCCCTGGCCTCTTCAATGTCAGGGCAGCCTGGGGACCCTTCTCCGCAGGCCCGAGACTCACAGGATGTAGCAGATGACCCCGATGCTCCACATGTCTGTGGCATAGCCGATGGGCTCGTAGTTGATCACTTCAGGTGCCACGAACTCTGGGGTGCCAAAGAGGACCTTCAGAGACCCTGCATTTTCTGCAACCAGGATGGAGAGAGATCAATCACCAGAACATCCCCGAGCCAACCTGAGGTGAGCAGATGCCCAGGAGGGACACAGGCAAGACTGGCCCTCAGCTGCTCTTCCCTTGAAGGACAGCCTCCTCGTGGAACAAGTGCATCGCCACACCTCATGCTCACCTCAGATGTCTCGGGTGCGGGTCGGGGGTGGGGGGGGGAGTCCCTTACAGCCCTGCCCCAAATGGTCTTCCCTGTGTGTCTCTCCCATGAGTTCCCTGAGGTGGGGATTGTGACTTGTGCTTGACAGTGATCTTCCCATTCATTATGTCCTATGTACCCTGCTGCCTGCTTTACAAGGACTTCCCTATTTAATACTCTTGCTGGCCCTAAGTGGGAGGATTAGCCTCACCCTCCTGAGGAGGAAACAGAGGCCCAGGGAAGTGGAGTGATTTGCCCACTCAGTTAATGGAGGTCAGGACCTAAACCCAGGTGGTCCGAATCCTGAGCCTGGTTCCACCAACTCCACTCCACCTCCTCTCCACGTCTCGCCTCCCAGGAGCTGCTGGGAGGTTAGTCGGGGAAAATCTTAACCCCATTATGGTGCCTCTGAGCCATAAAGGACCAAAGATGTGGAGCAGTTTGCACATAGGTACCAGCTCCCGGAGGATGCCAGCAGCAAAGGGGGTGTACACCTTTGGCCTGTGGGGTGCATCTGGTCTTGTTTACCTACAGAGTCCCAGCAAATGTCCTAAGACAAAGCTTTTAACACCATCAGACGTGGACACTCTGCTCCCACTCTAACCTGAGCCCTTCCTGCTCCATGTGAACCCTCACGTTCTCTGGTGTCTCATGGACCCAGTGTCCCCACACAGCCTCTCACCAAGGGAGCCTGTGTGTTGTGTTCCTTAGGCTCCGACGCCGTCAGCTCCTGAGGCCGGCGGTGCCCTGCTGTTTAAACTGTCAGAGGTTCCCGCATGAGGCAGGCCCTGCAAACCAGGCCTCCAGCAGGAGAGAGTAGGCAGGTGTCTTCCCCAGCATCCGGGTGCGACCACCAGGCAAGCCGCGGCCCAGCAGGACCTCACTCCCTCACCTTCCTCCTTATGGCACACTTGGTCTCAACCAGGATGGGGTGTCCTGGGGGGAGATTTACCAGGGGCATTTGCTCCCCGCTGGGCAGTGAAAGAAAGGCCAGCTCATGCCAGCCCTCAGGACCCTTGTTGGCAGGGCAGTTGTCAGGAGGTGGAGGGTGAGGCCGTTTCCTCAGTAACCGAGACACCCCAAGAGCCACATGGGCGGGTGGATGTAGGTGGTGTGTGAGGCAGACGATCACCCACCAAAATGACCCCAGGGCTGGGAACGAAGCCCCAGCCACCTTCTCCATCACACCCTGCCCCCTGCAAGTGCAGGAACAGCAGAGATGTTTCAGAGAACCCGGAAGGGGCCCCAGGTCTTGATGCCACCCCAGCTCATGGCGGGACTTGGTGGCCAAAGCTACTGTGAGCCTCAGTTTCCTGGTCTAGAAACTGGGGCTCATAACTCTGTCCTGCCTACCTCCCGGGGTTGCTGTGAGAATCAAGTAAGTGAAAGTATGTGACAGTGCTCTGGAAGCTATAATAGAATGCAAATGCGAGGAGAAACCGTCATCAAAATGTTTTGTTGCTGAAGGCACCAGAGTGAAAATAACAACAACAACAACAACAACAATAATAATAAGTAGCTAACACCTACGTAGTACTTACTATGTACAAGGCACTGCTCTCTTCACTCCACCTTTATTAATTCCTTTGATCCCCCTGCCAACTCTGTAAGATGGGTACTGCTACTCTCCCATTTTACAGGTAAGAAATTTGAGATGCAGGTTCACACAACTGGTGAGTGGGAGGGGCAGTCTCCATGGTCTCCGATCTTTGCTCTAATCCAGTGCATTCCCTCTGGCACCCAGTGTGCGGACCACAAACAGCACATCCACCCGAGGGTGACAACAGAGGTGGACCGGCCTTACCCAGCCTCCTGGCCAGACCGAAGTCGATGAGCTTGATCCTGGCGCCTGTCTTGTTGACACACATGATGTTCTCAGGCTTGAGGTCCAGGTGGACGATGCCCTGCTTGTGGATGTACTCCACCCCCTCCGAGATCTGCCTCATGTACTTGATGCACTCGCGCTCAGTCAGCTCAAAGTCCTCATCGATGATGCGCTCGAACAGCTCACCCCCAGACACACTGTGTGGACAGAAGGGGGCGCTCAGACCGCAAGATCAGGGAGCCTGGGCGGGCAGGGAGTCTGGCCGAGGGCAGGCTGTTGTGTGCAGGCGGGTATCACAGGCAGGGCAGCAAAGCCCAGGGTATGGGGGTGCCCGGCACTTCCTGCAGCTTCCTGAGTCCTAGGCCACTGCCCCCTTACGCTGGTCTTTCATTGTGTGAGGAGGGCTCAGGCCTCCTGGTTTCCTGCTTGGGGGACTCTGCCTGTGCCCACTAAGCTTTGAGGGGATTCAGGGAAACATCTGGGTTGGGCTGTTTCAGAGGTGGTCATGAACTGAGAGATCCAGACACGGTCTCCTTAGCAACAAGGGCAACTGCCTGGCAGCCTCTCTCCCCCAAATGACTATAGATGTAAGGGATCATCCTGTACACCAGCCATGTCTTCTAGTTATAAAGAATCAAAGCTTAAAAATACAGTACCCACGAGCATCTGTTTTGCATAGCGAGAAACAGGAGAGTATCTTCAATAATAAGGAGCCTCAGCACATTTTCTGCGTCATTGGCTGTAACCTATTATACTGACAGTTGTGGTCAGTTTGCTTCCTCCGGCTAGGCCTGTAGCACCAGTTTACTCCTTCCAGCCATAACAAACTTGTCTTGCCTGCTCCCCTGCCCAGGCTGGGAGTGTAGCTATACATCCTTGTTGTCTGGATAGAATTTGGATCCTGGCCATGGTGGTTCTGGGGCCCACTGGGCATCTCTTGCTAAGGATTGGCCCAGAGGCAACAGCCAGCCAGCACACTACCCTTCAGTGCAAATGCACGGCCTCGCCACCTGGGTCACAGGATCCTTTCTGCTCCCCAGTCCCAGCCCTCTGACCCACCTTCCTTGCTCACTGTGCAGGAAGTTTAAAGTATCTCCTTGGTAGCCCATGCAGCATTCAGACATCAGTAAGCTCTTTCTTATAACAGCCTGTAGATCCACCAGCTGAACAAGTCTGGATGGGCTTTGTTCTGGGCCTGCCCTCTTCTAAGGGGAGTCATCAGGAAGAAGGGGAAGAGCTAAGTTTGAATCCTGTCTCTGTGTGATGTTGTGCAAGTTACTTAACCTTTCTGAGGCCCAGTTTCCTCACCTGTCCCTACATCATAGTAGTTAGGAGTGAGTGTCAGCATCGTGCCTGACACACAGCAGGTACTCAGCACACATTAATTATCAGCTGACAACCAGCAGCGGACCAAGTGGATCTTGTTACCAACCCCTGAGAGATGCACCATGGGGCCAGGCACAGCACAGCCTCTGTAGGCCTCCATCACCACAGGACAAATGACAAACACTTTCACTTCTGGGAGGGCTGAGCTGGGAAAGGGCAGTCTGTGCCAGTAGCCGCTGAGAGGTGCTGGAACTGACACTTTAGAACCAACCGAGAAGGAAGGCCATGGGTGGTCAGCAGGTGGCGCCTCTGTCCTCAAGCCGCCATCCCTACTGCTCTCCATACGACTCCCAGTCAAATTCTAACCCCTGTTCCCAGGTCTCAGGACATTCTTAGCACCTCTGAGCCCCAATTTCGTCATCTGTAAGGTGCAGATAAAATCAGCACCACTTCATAGGACTGCTGGGAAGACTGAGTGAGTTAATACAGGTAAAGTGCTTAGAAAAGAGCCTGGCACATAGTAATTACTCAATAATGTTAATTATCTTTTCTTCTCTTTCTTTTCTTTCTTTTCTTTCTTTCTTTCTTTCTTCCTTTCTTCCTATCTTCCTTTCTTTTTTTTGGAAGAACCAGTGGGGTCTCTTGTTGAAAATATAGACTCCCAAGCTCCTCCCCTAGAGATTTTGATTTAGAAAATTTTGGAAGGGTCTGTGAGCCATATTTTTAATAAGTATCCCAGATCATTCTTAAGATCAGACAAGTTTGACAAATATTGGCTAACTCAGTTACCGCCCCTGAGAGGCCAGCTGAAATTCATGTCCTCTGAGAAATCATTCCTGATTTCATCATATGATTTATCCCTGCCTGGGTTCCCACAGTCTTGTCTCCGCACTTTTTGTATCAAGTCTACCTTGCCTTAAAGTTGTTTGTGAACATGTCTGGAAAAGGTCTGGCTCATCTCTGGACACTTATTTACACCTGGCAATATCTGGCACAGGCAAGGTGTCCCCAAGTGTTTGGTTTTAAATTTAAAATATTCTGAAAAAAGCAAACAATCATTTTTTTTTCAGTGCCCTTGGGAACGTCTGAGGCAGTGAGTGGTAGAAATCCCAGCCACGGAGATAACTACTGCTGTACTTCTAGAGGTAACTTGTTCAACAGAGGTTCAAATAGGTTCAAACCTATTCAAATCTATTTAACATATTTTGAAGGCTGTTCCTGTGTTCATTTTCTAGGTTGGAAGGGTCATACAAACAGAATTAATGTATGTTTCAAAACGCTGAAGACTGTGGGTGCAAAGAAGCTGCCACTCACAGATATGGGATAAAGCCAACAGCCAAAACTGGGCCAGAAGGCATGTGCTTAATAAATTAACAGTGATTACTGTACAGGAATTATGCCACAATAAAGGTGTTTAAAAAATAAATTAAAAATAAATAAATTAATTAACAGTGAGTAAGTGAATGAAGGAATAAATGAACACCTATGCCCAAGGTAACCTCATCCCAGGGGACTCATCAAATTTATCCCCTAACTGTAGGCACTGGCCAGCCCTCATTGGCAGCAAGAAGAATGACCATTAAGGGGATTCCATACTCAGACCCTCCACTCCTTGTCTCACAAGGGCTAGCTGGATATTTTTTGATAAATTTTGCTAATGGCAGCACAAAGGTGAGACAGGTGATGGATGACTCAGCCTAAACTGAACATCTGCTTCAGTGCTCAGGGTCCCACCACCACATGAGGAATGTCCCCAGAGGAGCAGCCTTGACTCTAGGCCAGGAGCCTGCCAGGAACCCTTGTACCAGAGCAACACTATTACATGATGGGGGACTGTCCCATGGTCAGAGGTCAGAAAGGCTGAAGACACATTCATTCCTACTTCTGGCTCTGAGACAGCCGAACTGAAGGCTGGAACCCTGGAATCCATTTTCAGTTTTCTGTATGCCCAGGGACTGTCCTTCTCTTAATCTCAGTTTCTCCATCAAACAAGGAGAATAGCAAATTGTACTGCTGAAAGCCAGCCTTTACCCCCTCAGTGGCCAGGTCTGTTTCAGATGTAGTATAAGTCTGTCCCTCCTTCTTTGGTGGAGTTCCTATCCAGGGGCAAGCTCCTTACCCAAGTGCAGGAGAACCCTCTGGCATCTGTGCATGTGAGACTCACTCCTGTCCACGGGGGAGGCGTGGGGTGGAGGGATGAAAGCCAGACCAGCTGAAGCCTTCTTATGTTTTCTCCCAGCATTTTCCATCCAGCTTGCCAACTCTCAGTTCCAAGCTAAGTATGGTATTCTGCCCACTGGTGCTGCTGCCCGGCCTTACCCTGGCTTCATTGCCTCCTACCCCTCCCGCACCCTCTCACGAACTTGCTCAAGGTTTGACTCCCAAAGAGAAGACATTTCTTCACATGTCCCCACACGCCCACACTGCCTGGACCAAGCAATCTATTCTATAATACATGGAAAAGCTGCGGCCCCGGGCTACCGTGAGGGTGTTATGAGTGAGGCCACAGACAGTGGGCTAAATCTTCCCTAGAAGCGGTCAGGTCAGTTTGAATTTGAGGCTGGAAACTGATTCTAAGATACAAACGGAGATTTTCTTTGAATCTGTGTAGAAGTCCCACAGAATTGCAGGATTCTAGAACCAAAAGGGAGCCTAATGCAAACACCTCTCCTCACTGGAAGGATTTAATAATTACAGAATCACAGCTCAACAGTAATAGAAGCTGACCCCCAGTCTCCTGAATAGTAGGATTTGTTCCATACATCTAGTTGGGTGTTAAAATGCTTACATAATAGTTTTAAGTGGAAAAAAAACCAGCATACAAAAAAAAAAAAGTCATTGCATCACAGTCCTAAGAATGACTTCCAATTGCAGAGCCCTGTGCCTGACACACATTATTCCATATAATCCTCACATTATTCATGGGGTGGTTTATAGCCTCCTTTTACAGATAATAAAACTAACTAGCCTGGCACAGTTGGGTAACTTATTCAGGTCGTGCAACAAGTGGCAGAGCGGGGATTGAAGTGAGGTTTACCAGACTCAAGTCTGTGCTTTTAACCAAGACTGCTTTTCCTCAGAAACACAGACTGAAGGGAAACACACCAAAATATTCACAGAGTGAGGGGAGAGAGTCCCTAGTAGAGCTGGGGATGCCTCACTGGCCTCACCTTTCTTGGGAAAGAACCCCAAGATTTCGACAGAATCCCCTTCAAATTCCTAAGATGCCTGAGGCTTGGGATGAGCAATTCAAGGATGCTGAAGGCAATTTCACAACATCTCTAAAGCTTTCAAATGCATGTCCCCTTTGATCCAGCAGTCCCACACTTCTGGGAATTTATCCCACAGACATACACGGGCATGAGAGAAAAGATGTATGGACTAGGTTCCAAACACTGCTTGTTTGCAAAAGCAACAGCCTGGAAACCATCGAAGCCCCCTCTCAAAAGAAGACTGAATAAACTGTGGTCTGTGCATGCGATGAAATGCCAGGGAGCAGGGAGAATGAGCAAGCCCGCTAGCTACTGATACAGGACTCCCTCCAAGAGAAGCTGTTGAACGAAAAGAAGCCAAGTCTAGAATAGTGAGTGCGAGTTATCTCTGGGTTAAAAGGTGGGAAAATATGAATATGAATTACATATAAATATAAATAATATATGCTTGTATTTTCATAAAGAAACTTTGGAAAGAGAGAAAACCAGAAAAACTGGTTACCAGTGGTGGTGAGAGGGGGTAGGAATGGGGTAAATGGGGGGCAGGGGTAGGAATGGGACTTTTCACTGTGTCTTTTCTTATTTTTTAGATGTGATTGTATCAAAAATTTTTAAATTCAGATTAAAGAAAGGAAAGGGAATACTTAAAAAATATACACTCTGGAGGATGCCTGGTTTAATGACTCCAGTCTGTGAATTTCTGTGTTTATGTACGTTTGTGTGCATTTGTGTGTGTGTGTGTATTTGTGAGTGTGTCTGTGTGCATGCTGACCAGCAGCTCAGAGATGAGAGAGGTGGAGGGTTGGAACTAGAAGAAACCTGGGGAAACCTTGGCTGGAGGTCATCTGATCATCCCCCTGCCTCTGTACAACCCAGCTCAGAAAGTGCTACTCTGGTGGGTGAGAGGTCAAGCGAGAACAAACAAGTGTGGACCAGAGGCATGCAGAACAGAGCAGGAGGATGGGAGCAAGGGTTATAGTCCTGCATTCTGAGCTCCCAGCCCTGGGCCACCTTATCTCTCGCAGACTGCTCAGGAAGTCGCTCTATCTCTCCTCTTCTATTCAAAAGCCACCTCTAGGTCAGAATGCCCTGAACGAAACCAAGGAGCCTAGGATTAGCCCTGGGCCTCTCACAGGGAGGTGAGGGTGAGAAGGGGGCAGGGCCCTCAAAGACCTGCCAGTTTGTCATGGAAGTGAGCAGTGGGCTGGGGGACGGGGGTCAGGGCCAGCACTGTGCACAGACCAACTGTTCCCAGGAGTCAGCCCCTGGCCGGTCGGGCTGGTGAGTGTCCTGCGTGTCACACCCCTGCCTGCAGCGCTCTCCATCTTGGGGCAGAGGGCGGCACCTGGACAGTGAGGGAGGTGTATGAGGGGCTCCCGGGCTCACAGAGCCTGGGCAGCCCAGCAGCAGGCCACTCACATCTCCAGGACCATGACGATGTTGGCCTTGTCCTCGAAGGCGTCCACGCACTGGACCAGCTTGGGGTGGTGGAGGCAGTTCATGATGCTGATCTCCTGCCGGATGTTCTCCTTCTCTTTCGCTGAATATGCCTTGAAGAATTTCCCTGCCCAGATTTTTCCAGTTTTCTTTTCTACAAGTCGAAAGACCTGTCCAAATTTCCCACTGCGAATGAAAGGAGGAGGAGGAGAGAAAAGGCAATTTAGCCAAGCTTTCCGCTGAATTGGTTGGCAAGCCTTCACCCGTGGGACACATCTGGCCCACCTCTTTTTATAAATAAAGTTTCACAGGAACACAGCCTTGCCCCTTGGCGTGCAGACCGTCTATGGCTGCTTCTGTGTTTCAGTAGCAGAGCGGTAGTTGCAGCGTAGACTGAATGGCCCACAAAACCTAAAATACCCATTATCTGGCCCTTCACAGAAAAAGTTTGCCAGCCCCTGCTCTAGATCAATGGAGTGCATTTCTATTACTCATGAACCTACTCTCCATCACTTGTCAACCTCAGCTGGTGTCCGGCCCCACATGCCCACCCGAACACTGTCCAGTCCTGCTGTTCTTTTAGGACTGTCATCTCCTAAGGCCTAAATCTTGGTGACAGGCTCCTCCTCCTTCCCCCTCAAAGGGACCCATGGTGTCAGGTTAAGGAAGTCCCCCCAACACAGAGCATTTCTGCCTGGTGGCCCTCCTTCTGTGCCACTTCCAGCTCCAGTATCCTGGAGACACTAGGAAGGCCCCTGCTTCCCACTACAGGGAGAGGGGTGGTGGCGTTCCTCCGCCACAGAGCAGGACCCTTGTATAGGATGCTTATGAGGTTGGTGTCACTCCTTGATTTCCCATAAACCCACTGGAAATAAGAGCTGAGCCCCATTCTGTTTTCCTCCCTTATCCATGTTCCCCAGGGAGAGAGAGGCAGTGGGAGGCAGACAGCCTTGGCTGCAGCTGCTGAGGGGCACAGCCTGGAGAGGGCTCAGGGTTGGGGTCTGAGCCCACTGGGGTCTCCACAGCCCAGGAAGAGCCCAAGCAAACAGTGCGGATGAGTTCAGGAAGTGAGAGGTGATGACAGGAGGTGTCTGTCAAGGGCGTGCACTTTCCTGAAGCACTAAAGCCAGAATTGTGGAACAGAGAGCACAGATCAGGCTGGACTGACTTCTGTGGATCAAAGGGAACAGGTCCTAAAGACAGGCCAAGACAGGCCCAGTGCCCTGGGTCATGTTTCGTGTGGCAGACAGGGGCGCAGAACAGGCAGAGCTGAGCCTGGGGCTCTAGCAGCTCCTAAGATCCCCAGGCAGGCGATGCTTTCGTGGGTGCTGACAGGTCAACAACCCCTTCTGGTCCTGCAGGCGTCTCATTTTGGGGAACCTGACAGAACCCAGGAAAGGACAGAAAGAGGAGGCGTGGAATTTCACTGTGGGGCCTGCGCCACCCTCACCCTGGCGGCCGGAAGGCTGGTTCCCACTCCACTTACGATCCTAGTCTCTCTTCGATGTCATAGAAGTCAGATACTTTTTGTTCAGTATTGACTGTGACGGTCCGGTAATCGACCTCAGGCTCCTTCTCATCTGCAGGGTGGAGGTCAGGGTGAGTACGAGCCATCAGACCCCTCCCTCACCCACCTCCACCCCTCACATCTGCCCAGGAGCAGTGGCCAGCACTCACCGTCATCTGACACCTCCACTTCATCCTTTGGCTCTAGGGGAGAGAGGACATGGGTGATAAGTACTGAAGGCCCATCAAGAGTGAAACACGCTGGGAACCTGTCAGGCCTCAGCCTTCCCAGGCACAAGACCACCAAGCCCAGAGCTCTGGGCTTCACCACAGGGTGGGAGGGTCCTCCCTGCAACAGGGCCACATATACACCACAGGCCCTGGCCTCCTCGCCCTACCCAGGCCCCTCCTCCACCAGCTCTCCCCGCCATCCCCTCCTCTCCAGCCTCGTGGTCCCCTAGACAGCCCTTCTTCACATCGCTCCTAGTCCCTCTGACTTTCAGAACCTACACACAGCTGTGACTGTCCCTGTCTGCTCCGGTCTAAAAGTCAGCGGCTTATAGTTGTCACTAGTGTCAAATCCATTTATCCATTTACTGAGAACTGCTTCTGGAATTCCAGCCACGTACCAGGTATCCTGCCAGTGATTGTGGGTACACAAAACAAAACACAGATGGCATGATCTTCCTCCTTTCTTGGAGTTTATAATTTGGTTGGAGAGGCAAAAACACACATACTTGAAATACCCATTATGAGTGCTATATAATCAAGCACGTGCTACCACAGTACAAATGGAACAGACAAAAGGACGAAGTGACACAAAGCGGGGCGAGTGTAAAGTCAGACCAGTTATTCTAGGAAGGAGCCCCTGAGTATCATCTTAAAGGAAATGATGGAACACAGCAGGAGGTGGCTGACATCACACAGGAAGCCAGTGAGTGGTAACAAGGTCTGGCGACGAAGGACGGGAGCAGCCCACGCTGGCTGTTCACACAGTTGTGTCAGGAGCAGATTAAGGGACATGAGGGGACAGGCTGGGGTCCAGAGGGACAAACCCACTTCAGAAGTCCAGGCTTTCCTTTGTGCTAGCGTTATTTGTCCCTGTAGGACCACTGTGGCTTCTTGACCTTGGCCAAGTGCCTTTCCCTTCCTGGGCCTCAGTCTCCTCGTCTGTGAAAGGAAGGAGCTATTCTTCCAGGTGATTGCTAGGGTCCCTGGCTAGCTCTGGACGCTTTGTAACATGCTTGGGGCTACTCAGCCATGATGTGGGCTGTGTCCTGGCTGAGGGTTGGAGCCAAGGGAGGTTTCCTAAAGAGGTAGAAAGAGCAGTGGAAGTCAGAGAGGGAGGACAAGGATTTTTAAAGAGAGAGTGTGTGTGTGTGTGTGTGTGTGTGTGTGTGTGTGTGTGTGTGTGTGAATAAGGCTCGGGGAAATGGTGTGATTTGCTGAAGCTCACAGCAGAGCAAGACTGAGGAAAGGCAGGGGATGGCACGTGGAAGGAAGACAAGAGCAGCTGCGGTGGAGGGCTTGGTCAGACACTGCCCAGCCGGGAGGGAGGGCTTGTGTGGAAGGGGCTGAGCTTTACAAGCTTTGCAAGCTGAATGCTGGCGATGAAGGTGTGGGTCGGGGACAAGCAGCTTGGAACTGTAGACAGTGAGCCTCTCTGTTAGGCTGAAGGCAGAACAAATTACTGAAACCTAAGCAAACAATCTGAGAAAAGTAACATAGTTCCCATACAAGGTAAGTACTCCGTGCTAGAAAAGAGTTTTGAGAGAGTTTATAAGCATGTGACCAGGAGCAAGACAAGCTATGATTTGTTTAGCATTCTTAAAATGCTGTTGATGAAGTTTAGTTAGAAAACTAAACATGAGTGGGACTGGGCGGAATATTTGTCACAGAAAGGAAAAAGCCATGGAAAGATAAAAAAGGATGAGATGACGGGGACTCTCAGATAAGTAGTGGGGTTCACAGATATTGCCAGGATGTGGGTTTAACTGATTAAGTCTTCTAAATCACATATTTGACAGTTAAGAGTAACACTGTCAAATTCATAGATGATCAGAATGTACCTAAGGGCAACACACCTGGAAGACAGTAATGGAGTCACGTACTCAGGGAGAGTTGAATCACTCAGACTTCTGGAGTAATAAGCCCTAGGGTTATCTAGTTAGAACCAAACGTGGGAGCCTGGTTCCTCAACCTACTGCTCTGGCCAGCAGAATGCTGCCACTGGGGAAATGTGCACTGGCGCAAACAGGTATGAATACTCTGCCCTTGGTAAGAGCCTGCGGTCATGTAATCCTGGAACTCTGGCTGCTGGCATCTGGAAGTCTGGATGGACCTGGAGGAGGGATGGGATATTGGAAGGAAGAACTGCTGTATGAAGATGATCAGAAAAGGTTAGTTCTCTCTGGCTGGGAAAGAAGTCTAAAGCTAACACGACCAAAAAAAAAAAATCACAATAGGTGATTTTCACAAGGGTGAGATTAGGGTTACAAACTTTTACCAACTAATGAACTATAACTTGGGAGAACCATATAGTGTCATACCTCACACAGGGTGAAGCCTGTAGGCATTTGGAACTCACATCTCAAGAGCTACCATAAGAACAATAAACAGGTTCAGGAGATGTTTAGGTGCATTCAACAACGGTATTTCAAACAAGGCTTTAAGGGATAAGGGAAGCAGGAGATTCAAGTCAATTCAATAATCATTAACGGAGCACCTGTGGATGCCAGTCACCAGATGGGGCCTCAGAGACAAAAGAGTAACGATCAGAATCACATTTACTGTCAAGGAGGCCGCATCGTCCTGACTGCTGGTGCCCGAGCCGAGACAGCGGTTCGAGCTGCCTGGATCTTTTTGTTCCTGTGTCCTGGTGTGGAATGACCAGCAGGATGAGAGAGGACAGAGAGGTAGACTTTCTTGGCCTGGTATCTCTGGGAGGAACTGTCTGTCCTCTCTGAGTGAAAAAGTAGCAGCAATGCTGTGTATGAGGGGCTTTCCAACGACCTAGCCCCCAGGGGCATCTCCCAGGTTGCCAGTAGGGCATGCATGTCTAGAACTGACCTCTCTCCATCACTTTGACATCAGTTAGAAACCGCAGAGCTAGCCTTCATGCCCTCATCCCAAACACCACACCTACCCTCACCTCCCGCCTCTCTCCTTGGCAGTCAAGATGCAGAATGCTTTCCTGATGCTATGGCCGTGGGGAGCCAGCTCAGCCTCAGGGAATCCATGCCCCTCTTCCTGGTCCCTGTTACAGGGCAATTTTTCTCTGTGTGGAACTCAGACCAAGGCTCCAGGCTGAGAAGTCTCCCTTCCTCCTTTTCCTTCTCGTTTGGCCTCCATTCTGTCTGGAGGGGAAATGGCCATGAGAGGAGGAGGAGCCCCAGAGGAGTGGGGGAAAGACTGCACTGCATTAGGCAAGCTCTCAGAGCATAAAGAGGTAGTAATAAGACAGGGGGCCACTTGGTTTCCACTTTCCACTGAGGTAGGAGCTGGACTGCAGTAGGAGGGACTTCAATGAAACATTTTTAAAAAATTTACACAGAAAAATCTATGAGCGGAATCTAAAAAAAAAAAAAAGACACAAATGAACTTATTTACATAGAAAACAAACATGGTTACCGGAGGTAAAGGGAGTGGTAAGGGATAAATTGGGAGTTCAAGATTTGCAGGTACTAACTACTATATATAAAACAGATAAACAAGTTTCTTCTGTATAGCACAGGGAACTACATTCAGTATCTTGTAGTAACCTATAATGAAAAAGAATATGAAAGTGAATATATGCACGTATATGTATGACTGAACTATTATGCTGTACACCAGAAATTGATACAACATTGTCAATTTTGTTGACAATGACTGACTATATTACAATAAATAATTTTTTTTAAAAAGCTATGAGATCCAAGAGCAAGTGGAAGAACTATTTGGAAGATGGTTCTGAGATGTTTTTGCAGACAGATAGGCCACATCCCTCTGGAGCGGTATTTGAGAGATGACCAGCTGAGCGCTCTGGCCCTTACATCACATGTGTCTAGTCGGTTCCCTGGACTGATCCGCCCCTTTGCCCAGCAAGGGGTGCTGCATGCCCAGTGGGTGCTAGAGGGCTCCCCTCCTTGGGGTCGCGCCGGCGCAGCTGCAGCAGCACTGGGTGAGAGGCCGATCTCCGGCCCTTTGCACCCTGTGCCTCTAGGAGTTCTGCACCTCCAACTACCCTCAGGGTTCAAGGAAGCCCCGACTCTGCAAGAAGCTTCTTTCATAGCTGTCTGCTAACAACAATATAGACTAGAACAGATCAGGCTGAGGAGCAAGGATGGAGTGGATTTAAGAGAGCTGAGTAAAGTGGAGATCCAGACCTGCCTGGGATGGGAGAGAGTGGCTTTGTGGGGGTGCTCTGTGCTCTGGTGTGAAGAGGTTGCCGGTGCAGCCGGTGGGAACCCTATCCCCAGTGACCCCTGCAGTGCCTGGAACACAGGAGGGGTGCAGGGCACACTGTGTGAGTACAGAGTGAGGGCAGGGATGGAACTGAGAGGTCAGGGCAAAGCCCAAAACTAAAGTTGCTGCAGCAGAGGCAGGAGGGCAGTGGTGGCCATGGGGAAGGTGAGAGCCAATATTAGCTGGGCTTAGAGGAGTGTTAATTGGCACTGCCTCTTTGATGACCACCATTCCTCACCTGTGGGGCTCATCAGCGGTTCTACAGTTTCTCCTGGGTTTTGTCATAAAGGACCCGGAAGCTCTCCTTTCCAGGTAAGCACATCTCACTGCAATGTTATCTCCTTTTCTGTCACTTTTCCAAGAGGTGGGGAGTTGTCTTCTTGGACAAAGTGATATGCTAAAAACACAAACTGGAACTTGGCTGCCTGCCCTGGCACCCCCACTCTCAACTGTCTGCTCCCCACTCTGCTTATGTCAAAGGTGCAAGGAGGTGTCAACAGGCAGCCAATGGCAACTACCCTGTTTCTCCCAGCAGACATCTGTGAGCGGCTGATGGGCAGGAACCCCATGAAAGCAGCAAAGAGGCCATGCAGGGCTGTCCCGGGCCCGGATCTATGATCCACGCCCCCACAGCACGCTACAACTCTCAGGAGCTGCCCTCCAGGTATCCCTAGGACTCACTGGGTAAAGGCCCCCAAGACAGGGCGGCACAGGCAGAACTAAATTCGGTGTGTTTTCCATTGGTATCCTCCAAACTTTCTTTCTGAGGCCCTCATTTACTTTGAAAGTAAAGTTTAATATTTGCTTTCTGCCTAATTTTTAAAATTAAAGAGGGGTATCAAACTGTAACGACAATTTCTATACTCAGGATGTCTTGGTTATGTGGTGATTTCAGGACCTGTGCCCCATCCAGCTCCTGGTCCTTTAGCTCTCTTCTCTGCCTCACCCCTTTAAGCTCTCCTCTCTCCCAGAGCTCTTTCCCTCAGCGTCCCTCCACCTTCCGCCCTGCCCCCAACCTTTCCTCCGTCCTAAATCCACAGCACCCGTCTCTTCAAATGAAACTTCTTGAAGTAATATTTCATATCCTTGGTCTCTCTTTCTTCCATTTATTCCTTAGCCCCAGGGCAACCATCTTCCACCCTGTAGAAACTCTATGGGCTCTGCTCTGAAAGATCACTGCACATCAAAGGGCTAAATCCAAAAATCTTCCTGAGTCCTCATGTCTTTCTTCTTTGCCACTCACTGCTCCCTGTGTTTCTGCAACACGGCTCCCTCCAGCCCCTTCTTGGTTCTCTCCTCTCAGTCCGTTCTTCTGGTTGCACAGGCTTCTTCATTTCTGTGTCAGTGTTGACTTTCTCTACCACCCTCTCCATGACCTCATGGCTGCCCCTGGCTTCCACTGCCAATTAAATAGTAAAGACCCCCAAATCTGCAGCTCGAGCTTTAACCTTTCTCCTGAGCTCTAGACTCAGCCATCCAACAGTCTGAAGTCACCACCCCCTTGGAGATCCCTCAGACACCTCAACTTAACAGGATGGATACCAGAACTTCCATGTTCTGTGGGACTCCCTGCTATCTAACCTCCAAGTCACTGGGAGGCAGCCTGACTTTCTCCATCAGTTTAACCAAAGGAGCTCAGACACGGGGTCAGACAGCTTTGGGTTTAAGCTTCAACTCATCGTTTAACAAGCTCTGTGACCCTGAGCAAGTAGCTTCACCCCTCTAAACCTCATTTCTCCTATCTGTAAAATGGGGTAAAAACAGTATTTACTTCATCGAGTTAGATGCATAAAATAATGTGTTAAGTGCTTAACATACAGCATATAGCAAGTGCTTAATATATATTAACCACCATGAATCATAATAAACCTCTAAAGGGCTCCTGAATTTGTGTTTAGTTACCCAAGCTAGGACCCTGGCAGTAATTTTAAACTCTTCTGATGTTCTCCCTCAATTCTCTACCCCAAAAGTTTCAGGAATGGTCAGTTCTACCTCCGGAGGCTTTAGTTTATGTCTTCAGCATCCCTCTCCTGGACTACATCACAGAGTCCCAGCTGGCATCTCTCTGACTCCAATCTCATCCCCCTCCTCTACTCCAGTGCTTTTCAACTTCCACGTGTATATGACTCCCTGGGGGTGGGGGTGGGGTGGATGATGTTAAAATGAAGGTTCAGAAGGGACTAGGGGAGTGGGGGGCAGAGAGTCTGCATTTCTAACAAGCTCCCAAGATCCCAAGACTGTTGGTCCAGACCACACCTGGAGTTAGCACAGGTCTACTCTTCCACTAACTCTCTTTCTAAAAACACAGATCTAATCATATCAACCCCCTGCCTGAAAACTTTTGAGAACATCGCAACTTTACCTACACTGTCCTTTCAGTCTGGCTTCCTCCCGCTGTTTCACGTTGCATGTGCCCTGGCCACACGCGAGAGTCTCAAAATGCCACGTGTTTCTATCGCTTTGTACCTTGACTCCCGCTGTTTCCTCTGAGAGGAATGCCTCTCCCCATCTCCCTGCCTCTTGGAATCCCATTCTTTTTTCCAAGACTCAGCACAAGTATCACGTCTAGGAAGACTTTCCCAACCTTCATGGCAAAATTATTCCTGCTTTTTGCGGTGTCTCCACAATTTTTTATACTGCTAATAACAGGATGTAGCACATCTCATTAGTTAGCTGTCTACACAGCTGCCCCCCTACTTAGATTTTAAGCTTCTTGTTTCATCTGTCTTTGTGTCCCAGGAATCTGACACTGAATAGACCCTCAAATATGAGTGCAAGAGGAGGGAAGCGGTGGTGGGGAGGATGTTAGATCTGTAGGTCTACATGAGCTCCTGCCTTCCCAGACTGTGCTCTGATGAACACACCATCGCCCCCTTGTGGCAGTGTACTAAAATTGCTGGTTCAGAGCTTTTTGAAAGATCATGTGGACTTCCTTTAAAGCATGGATCAGTATCACAACCTTGGTAATCAAGATCCCAAAAAACTCTACCAGTCATCGCTGATATCTTGCCAGTTCCCCTGTACCCCTCTCCGTACAGCTTTCTGCACACACAAGGTAAGTCACACGCATTTATCGCAAGCCAATGGTGAAGGGGAGGCAGCCTACCCTCGGGTTTCTCTCCCACCACTGTGAGTTCAGACTCCTGGCTCGGCTCACTGATTCCATACACGTTGATTGCACGCACGCGGAACTTATACTCTCGGTCAGGCAGCAGATCCTGGACGTTAAAAGAGGTGCTACGGCATGTGGCTAGTTCCGTCCACTTCTTGTCCACTGAGTCCCAGATCTCGACGCTGTAGGACTGTACAGCGCTGCCCCCATCATACGACGAACCATACCAGGACAGGGTCAGCGAGGAGCTACGGATGTCAGAGGCACAAGGCGTGCCTGCTGGGGGGTCCGGCTTGTCTGGGGAGAGAGAAGCACAACATCACCCAACTCTGCTGAATTGCAGGGAGAGCAGGTTTTTTAATTAGCTCTGTTGTTGGAGAGAGGCCTGGAGAGCGGGAGCTGTAGTCCCTGGTCCCAGCTCTCTCTTCCTCATCCACATGGTCACACCTGTGTACACACCTGCCTATATGGAAAGCCCCACAAATACCTATTTGCTGGGAAAAAATCCTCTCTTTTGGCTAGTTTCCAGTCTACAAGTCATAATTTCCTGTGCTCTGCCCAAGTCATAAACATATTTCTCAGAGTGAACAAATCTAAGAAGCTGCCCAGAAAGTGTGGACTTCTTCCCATCAAAAATATGTTCTGAGAGAGAGTTCAGTGTGTGTATGTGTGTAAGTCTCCTTCAGGCCTGAGGCCAGTGATCTGTGACATAAATAGGGGTCAGTCTCCACTTTCTCTGGGACCCGGGAAATGCATGCTCCACTGAGAGGTGGCCCAGCGCAGTGAGCTCTGAAGAAACACGTCTGGGTTTAAACACTCCTCAGCCCCCATTCACTACTTCTTAACCTCTCTGGGCCTCAGTCTCCTTGTCTGTAAAATGTGGATGATAATAACACTGGATTACAGGGCTGTTGGGGGAAGTTCTCAGAAAATCGACTGGCTTGACTAGCCTTTATTGTCATCATTATTGCAGGAGTTTATTTCTAACTTTATAATGTATAAAAAGTTACTCCAGCCCTACCTCTTTCATCCTGCTAGGACTGGTATAAAATGAGACAGAGAATTTAAAAAGCAAACCACAGTAGCCAATCACAACCATCCTGACTAAGGACTGGAAAACAAGCTGAGGACACAGACTAGGAGTGGCCCCTTTGGCCAACCATCTTCCCATTCAGACCAGTAATGCCAAGAACCAGTAAGGCTGCCAACTTCAAGGCAAATCACGGCAGCCAGTTAATGAGGTGCTTGAGTTTTGCCAATTTTGTCAGCTGCTCATCTGAAAAAAATTCTCCAATTTTTCAGATTTAGTCTCTGACGGTGATTGGTTTAGTTACAGACACTGGTGTTCAGTAACACTCCTCCAAGGCATGTGAGGTGTAGAGTTCCCCAAACTAGCTATGAAAACCATAGTTTTATGCTCTGTGAATTTATAAGCTGTGTAAATTCCAGCAAATTCCTTAGCTTCCAAGGCTACTTTGTTTGTCTTTTTCATTTGGAAAATGGTGCTAATATATATCTACCTCTTAGGGTTTTTGCAAGCTTCAAATAAACAAACCCAGGTAAAGTACTGAACTCCTACGCTCCTACCCCTCAACAAGGCAGGATGGCAAAAGAAAATTCCTGCAAATGACCTGAGCAAATGGGAAGAGAAAACCCATTCTGCCTGCATATGTGTGTACATACATCTATATCCACACGTACACACACACAC